TAATGACTTTGATCAACCCTCAAATGAGCTCATGCCGTTACACCTTTGCTCTGAGAAAGCAGTGGGCACAGAAACTCCACACTTTTAATGAACAAGTTTTTAAATAAACTATAAGTAATGAGTACTTAAAGCTGAATACACAAAAACAATGAAACAAGAAGGAACTGAAACCAATTCTCCCCTCCACATGGTCTCATCCACAACCTCCACCAGAGGCTTTAAATATGGCCGACCTCTTTGCCTCCAGAGCGTGTGGAGTAACAGGTAAATGTGGGAATATGGACGTAACTGGAATTAATGAATAAAGTATATTTAAATGATAATTTACCTGAACTAACAAAACATAACCCAGGGTTGCATGGTAGGATATGGTAGGAGAAATGTGCATGTGTCAAATTAAAGTAATGCTGGTTTAATGGGACAAAGACCCATTCAAAATCACATTTACATTGTTAAGCGCACAAAATGTGCACAGTATTTACACATAAAGATTTTTTTTTGTTCATTATTTTATTTAACTTTTTTTTAATTTTTTTTATTTGTCTAATCTGATAAATGCAAAGCAGCTCATTTTGTGGAGTTTTCTTGCAGCCTGGTAGAGGTCAACAACTGGCACCAACATAAGTTTTTGTGCACTGGTAGATGTGTAGTGTAGTGCATTGATACAAAATATTGTAGTTTTTAATATTTTAACCCTTTAAATGCCATTTTTGTTTTGAATCAACCCTGATTTTGGTTGAAAATGGTAAAAAATGTAAAATGTATTTACAAAATGTGAAAGATTATTTGAGCTCTTCTATTACAGCCTGAGGAAGGTAAATAATTTGCAGCAACAGTAACTTTTGTGCATTGTTACTTGTTGTTTAATATCAAATACTCATGTTTATATTGCTGAGTGTAAAAAATGCACCATTGAAAACCATTCAAACTACATGGTCTGATGTGGTCAATGAGCAGAAAGTTTAAACATCCTCCAAAAAGCCACCACTTGATATTTGGATGAATGTGTACAAAAAGTCAAAAGAGCGCAAAATGCATCGAAGTATGCTAGAGGGTTAACTGTGGACCGAATAATATTTGTTTGAAATAAAGAATAAATAAAAAATATATATGTGTGATTGTTAATATAAGTGAAAGCCTTCATTAAGCCTTATCTGAGGAGTTGGGATAAGTGAGCACTGACCACCTGCTCTACGAGGCTCGCCACCTGCTGCAGTCTGTTCCTGTGATGTGAATGAGACAGGTACCAGTCAGCCTCTTTCACATCACAAGCACCACTCCTGGGCCCGCACTCACATTCAGATCTTTCAGAGAGAATAGGCTGTGCACAATGCAAAAGCAGCTGATTGTCCCAGGAGTGTCAGAGCTATTTGTGTCTGGGCAGCTAATATGGCTAACTACATGCAGCGTTGTGTGAAAGCTCTTGACAGGTTTTGTTTGGAGGCTGAGTCACCTCCCTGATTTTCCATCCAGGCCCTTGTTAGCGTGTTGAAGTGAAGCAAGAGGAAGAGGAGAGAGGACGACTACGTGACGGTCTCCTGACTCTTGACGCCACATGCAGCCATCTATCTCTGTGTGTGATTGGACGACGCTGCAGCCTACCTTTGACAGTGTGACCAATCTCCAACACTCATTAACCAGCCTGACATCTGTGGAGAATCACAATGAGTAGCTATGTTTGTTTACACCTGTTGCTATTTTTAAATTCTGCCCTTAGCTTTCTAAAGGCAATTGTTGGTCTTTTAGTCATGCACTGGTTAAAAATAGGACAATTTTCTTTTTACCACTGGAACAAGGCAAACATCCACATCCATCACTATATTAAATATTCCACTCAATGACATACACATATAAATGGCAAATGGTAATTTTTATATAGCGCATTTCCACCTTCTAGGCTCTCAAAGTGCTTAACATTAAGGAACCACTCACCCATTCACACATATTTTCAAACACCAGTGTACACAGACACTGGGGGTGAGGTGGGTTAAGTGTCTTGCCCAAGGACACAATGGCAGGATTCATCTGTGGGAGCTGAAATCTCACCACCAACCTGTGGGTCAGTGGATCTGACCACTCCACCATTGTTGTTTGAGAGTGGGATTTGAGCCAGCAACTAGAGGACAAACACTGAGCTACTGTCATAAGGAAAGGTGCAGCCACACAAATTATTGGATAGAGTATGCATACACAGATTCTGAAGAGGGGGGTATATGGTAGTTTCCTTACAGACCAATTTCATAATTATAATTGTTATGGAAGAGAAGAGCAGACTGCATTCTAAAAGCACAGGTTGGAGCTTCTGTACATCTTCAGAGAAGTCTGATCCAATGAAGCATAAGTTGAAGGATAGATTCCATGTGAGTATTGTTGTTGTGTACTTAAAACACTTAACTTGCCCTGACCCTAGTGTCTGCATACATTTTTGTATAAATGTGTATCAATGGCTGATTGCTCTGTTGATGTTAAAAAAAAAAAAAAAAAAAAAAAAAACTTTAAGTACCAGTGTCAGTGAATCAGATTGCACGTGCATGTGATCAAAGGAAAAATAGTACCTTTGCTACTGTTTTCAATAAAAGGACATGATGTGCAGCCAGCCAGTATCCCCCCACTCAGTATCCTTCAAATGAAAAAAGTCATCTGTATAATCTCTCTTCAAATCACTGTGTACTGTAGACAGATGACTGTATTAACTGTTTCAAAGGTAAACCTATATCTTTGGGGGAGGTTTGTACCAGGTTTCACAGCTCCCTCTCCTCTGTCTGGTTGAAGGATGTGTTTTGAAGCTATGGTCCAGCCACAGTGGGACAGTGACTCATCCTCCCTAAAGCCCCACTGACCTGGTTCATTCACTCAGCCCAACTAATCTACTCCCAATGCTCCAATTTATCTCTGCTCTTTAAATGGCCCGTATTACGCTATTTTCCAATCTATGTTACAACGCCGTTTCCTCATCAAAAACATCGAGTTGTGTTTTGTTTTATTCACACACGTTGAACACACATACCCTACATATTTAGGCTTGATGTGTGTTCTTCTCTCAAACAGAAAACACTCTGTTCCACCTTATGATGTCATGGGGTAATACAAGAAATGCTCCACTGTGTTTTTACACTCCATACACCTTCACTAGAATCATTTGGATAATTCAGCCCTGGACTTGCCACTTTTCTGAATTAAAGGTAAAAATTATCTTGAAAACTACCACTTCATGACATTACATGATGACACTGAACATTTAGAGCTTGGGAGATGTAGACAGACTAATAATTACTCAAATATGTGTGAATGAAACTAAACACAACTTTGGGTATGCTGATTAGGGAACATTCAAAGATGGCTTAAAGCTCATAAGAGTCCATTTTGCATAATATAGGACCTTTAATTGTGGTTTAACAGATTTTTATTCATGATGTGAAAGCTTCATTGCTGTTTTTACTGTTATAGGCCTACACGACCTCCCATAAAGTAGCCTACAATGTGAATAGGCTTGTGAAAAGTTAAGTCTTATTTAAGTCGCTTCATAAAATTTGGCTAATCTTTTCAAACAGATTTTTCCTCCATACAAGGCTTTAGTCAGCACTCACATCTGAGCACGTGGAGTCGACACAATTAGCGCATAATAATTTACTCCAGTATAATTCTGGGCTTCCTGTAGCTCTAATCAGACGAGCTGTTACTCATTTGAATAGCCTAATAGTCTATTTTCTTTCATAAATAGGATTCAAAAAGAACAATAGGTGAACTGTGCTCTTTTTCCCCCCAAACACGTTAGAAATTACTGGCAGGTTTTGGAGACAAATGTTTCTTTTTATGAGGACGAGTTCTGGTTTAATGTCGTCTCTTCCAGAAAACTGCGTGGGACTCCAGTGTGGGACCATAGTCTCTGGCTGAGACAGAGCATGACACCACTCAGAACTATGTGTCACATTAGACTACGCTTTTGGGCCCACTACCTAAACATACCTCGCAAATAGATTGGCTCCTGATTGTTTCAGGTGAGTTTGGGTTAGAGGTATGGATTCATCGCATCTTGTTCGTTGTTTCAGTAGTGTAGCGTACCATGTCCTTGCTATCGTTAATCAATTAAGTAAATAATTCGTTAGCACACGCTTCAATACATCGTGTAGTGGTAGTTCCCTGTATAAAGAAACCACAGCTCTTTAGCGCAGCCTAGTGGTAAATTCGTTCACAACCATAAACATTGTTAATGGCCTTTTTAAACGCTGTTTATTAAACAGCCATTCCCGTTAAGAATAAATGTCTTTGTTTCCCTTTTTCTTTTCATATTGGGACTCTGAAAATTCACAAATAAATAGTCTGACTGTGATTAATAGATATAAGGCATAGGCCTACATACAGATATAGGCATCACAGCAACTTAATACTTCAGACTGAGCCGTGTAAGAACAAGCATAACTCGGTCACTAGATGGCAGCAGCGCACTGGTAATGTACAGTCTATGGAAGCCTAATACCACACAGTATGGGCAGGACCCAGGTTGTCCATTTCGTGGATCTCATTATTTTTCACGTAGGCTGTCATAAATGATATGCACAAATGTTCTCATCTATTTTATTTTTTTAACTTGTGACCCAGGACGTCGTGTGGCCTTGATCCTTTATGCATAACCTATAAACATGGCCTATTCAAAAGAACATTGTTAACAACATTGCGAGCTATTACACTTCTCTATGCTATAATAAAAGTATTGCCACACTGAATCAAGTGGTGTTGAGCACTTGGGAGGTCGAGTCTGTGAGGAAGAGTTTATGGTCTGCAGTTTACACAGAGTTATATGAAATGAGTTGGGTGCTCCTGTGACTGATTTAAGGGAAACCTCAATGTTTCACATGACTCCTTTGATCATACAGACATCATGTGCCTTTGGAGATTTACAGCACGTGTACAAGTCTGTGGTTCACTGCACAAATCTGTAATGTCTATATTTTGACACACTCAGGGTAAAACTGAACAAAATACACATGTAGTAATCCAGGTTTGAAAATCTTGTTTTATTGTAAGTATTGCATCTTCAACTTACACAGCTAATCACCATCATCACCAGAGTGCATGTTTACAGAGAATGGCCACAGGTTTTGGACAGCAGGAGGACTCCCTTTGGGTTTGAGTAACTTGACCCCGGCATAAGGGCGGTCACTAACCCACTAACCAGAGCACTCGTCTAATCCTAGACACAGAGGTAAAGTATCACTTTGTGACCAGCTCATGGAGATATGCCAAGTTTTTGGAGTTCGCAGCAAAGCCCAAAACCATCGTCAGACCGCGTGACTGACGTGATGGACCAGACTGCGCTGCAGTGTGGAGATTCAGTCAACAAATAAAACCTGCATAGAGCAGTGCAAACTCCTCAGTGGTTAGATAATGGCTGAGTAATTGTGCAGCCGACAGCTCTTCTGACTTTGGTGTACTCTGGTACATGGAGCCCACACACTGCCAGTTTTACCCGTTTTGAAAAAAATAACAACACTGTTTCCATGACAGATAACAGTGTCTGAAAGTCTATCACCTGTACAATTTTTGGAAAAGCATCGGTTCAGCGTCACAGCGGTCTGACTCAAGCCTGGGCAAGGTGAGATGTAAATTTAACATAGTGGGACCTTTATCTTGTCAACAGTGCAGGTTTCCCAAAATACAAAGAAATGAATAAAGAATAGATGAAAGGTAATAATAACTTAAAGGGGCAGAGTTAATGTAAACTGTCCCCGGAAAAAGAGAAAAGAGGACACTGAGGTGTTTGAGGTTGTTTTGGCATTTCTGTTTTTTTTTTTTTATTGGAGCACCAAAATGGTGACATTCGGACTCTGCCATGTCGTAATAACCTCAACAGAGCTCGGTAGGAGCTTTCAAATTAGAACACCTAAAATATTAATATGTCTTTCTTTACTAATTTGTTCTTTATAGTTTAAATCCTCAGTCCGAGGCATTAAAAGGTAAGACACACTTTGTCAACTGAAACACAAGTCTAATAGAGACTACAGTCCTCCTAATAGAGGACAGTGGAGCTTTAGACCCCTGTAATTGTTTAGTAGCTGGCTCAATATTTGCCATTAAAGTCTATGGGTCAGCCCCATTCTCCAGGAGACCCCTGAGCCCCTGAGACAAATTACACTATGCATTTCCTTGTACCTGCTTTAAGAGAAACTGTTATAGGACTTTTACATGTTTGTAGCTTTGCATGTGTCGTAGGGGCACAACTGAGGGGTTAGTCCTGAACAAGGCTGGTGACTCTAACTAGGCGAGGCTCAGCACTAGGAGCAGCTTAGGGGCCAATTACATTTCAAGTGTCCATTGAATAAAACATCAGAAATAATGAAAAAACATGGCTACATTTTTGCCCTCCCCACAAAAACAATAAAATATACATTTCTTAAAATAAGGAATGAGGAATATGCATTCAAAGGGGTAAATAAGACAGACCCAAAATAAGTTAACTCATTTTCTCATGTGTTTTTTTTTTGAGGGATGAAAAATAAATATTAGGGGTGTAATTCTTGCACACGTGGGGCAGTGAAGGACTGCAGCGCCACTCTTTATAATGCCAGTGGAGGGTGAGTGTTTGGTCGGCACAGCCGCAGCACCACACACCTGTTTGTTCTGCACCTCAGTCTCCTGCACTGAGCACTGACCCCTATGAAGGCCTTACACCACCATTACCCCATTCAATCTCACAAACAAAGTCCCATAAATACAAGCCACACAGTCTCTTCCAGCTCAAGTCCTTCTGGTCAAGTCACTTTCAGCAAGAAATTCTTCTTGGGGCAACAACACAATGAATAACTTTTGAATGTTTCGATCAAGAGCAAAATAATAGTGTCCATGCCACTTTGAAGATAAAATTTTCCAAAATGTAATTTAAAATGCACAATAAACACAGGGCAAACAGCAACAGAGGCAATAGATCTATCTGTGAGCTCTAACATTTTTAAAACCCATTTTTGTTAAAATTTTTGATGCTATTTGTATGTACAAAAACAAGAAATTTAGCTTTTTGGACGGTCACGTCTTCAAGGGAAAATGCACATGAGGAGTTGAAACTGACAAAAAGACGAGTTATTGCTTATTACTGCTGGAAAGAGGATGGACATTTATTCCAAAGTCTGTTGTTTGATTGTTGCTGTTTTGTTTTTAAACTTTTAAACTTTATCGCTTTGTGCTGTTTCTACTGACAGCTCTAAAGTAGGCAAGTGCAGGGTTGCTTGTTGTAGCTGCTTGTAGAGGGGAAAGGGAACCAAACAAAAACACACACACATTACAGTTTCCAGCCATTGAAAAACGCACTGAGCCCCACATTCAACAGGAGAGCTCCCTCCTTCCTCTGCTTTTGTGGTGGTTTTCCTCAGGGCCAGACTGGAACAATCACTGCATACTCGCTGTTGGCTTTGAAAGCTTGATGGTAGATCTGAGTTTTCCCATTGGTCTGTTTGACAATAGCACCAATAAGTGTCCAAGCTTCTGCAGTGTTGAGCAGAGGAGAAAACATACGACGGGCTGTAGGGGAATGTGTTGAGATGGCATGTTGTTGAGCCAGTGTAACAGTGACCCCTCAAATCCTCATGCACACACACACACACACACACACACAAACAACTGAAACACACAATACTCTCTCCTATGACGTGAATTTAAGTGCATTTTGGATCCAATCAGGGGGTACACATAAAATAAAGGAAACATCATTCATTGCAGTAGTGTGGGTTTAAAAATCATCACTTCATATCAATCATGTGTCTGCTCTCCCTTTAAAGAAGTTTAAAATCAATTGGCAGCCTCACATGGACATCAGGACTAAAGCTAGGAGTGGGAGGGAGAGGGTAGCGCCATTAGCTTAGCCATGTCTTCCAGGGAGAGGTTGACACAGGTACGGCAGGAGAAAACGTGAGGGTGTGTGTTGGCAGAGGGGAGGAGGGGCAGACTCTAGGAGGAAAAGGCAAGTTTGACACTGCAGGAGGAGTAGCCCTCGTCACTGGCCATGCTCTGCAGGCTGCTGTGGTCGTCCAAGTCGCTGGTGCTGGCCGTGCTCACACTGTCCAGCTCTCCATGGGAGAACTCCGTGCTTTCTACGTCCACCTCAATCTCCTCTGTGAACACAAACAGAGGCAAGTCAGGCATTCGCCTAAACAGGCATGACAACTTTAATAACAATTTAGGTGTCCGGTACCAATAAACCAGGGCTTAACTTCAATAATTCTGAACTAATCCCTAATTAAAGACTAAAACAACTAAAACAAGCAAATCAGGATAAGTACCATCAAAAGAAGCCTGTAAACCTCTTGTATGTATAGAATAAGCTGTATACAATTGTAATAAACTGAATCACGTCGGTGTGTGTTAGTAAAGGTTACTGAAGTGTCATTCTGCAGACCAGAACAATTCCCTCTTTTGTCCAGAGCTCAGCAGCAGTGGGCTCACCTTGGTCGGAGTCGGAGCGGTCAGAGCAGAGGGTGGAGCCCACACTGTCCATGCGTATCCGCTCACTCTCCACTGGGCTGGGGGCGCTGACTCCGCCCCTCAGCAGCTCCAACTGGCGCTGGAGGTGCCTCTGCTCACGCTCCAGGGACTCCAGCTGATACTGGCTCTTCCTGTCCGCCTCTTCAAGTTTCTGTTTAGAGAAAATAATAAGTTTATAAAAGTCACAATTCACCAATGACCCTCTGTGCTGTGCCCTACCTGCAGTGTTTACCATGTCTTTATACGTTTACATTTGACCGTATTGAAGGCTGTTAACAGTAGACAGCACTTCTGGGGTGCTCTGGCTGTAATCTTGTAGCCTGATGTCAATGCTGCTGACAGTGACAACCCTGACTCCAACAAAAAGACTAAAATAATGGCTGCCAATTGTAAGCCAAGTTGAGAGCAGCAGCGTTGAACCAGTCACAATACTATATGAGTTATCTGGCCTCTTGTGAATGCCTAGTATAGACAACTAATTTCTTTTCCAGAGGCCTATAGTTATGTTAATGGTCACCTGAGTGCTCTGATCAATACAAAGCAAACAGATAGATCAGTAAACTTCATCTGTAAGCTAAAGGGACTCATCCATCCACTTGTACATATTTATTATACAGGCCAGCCACACACTGCCAACAGAATAGTTTTGATTGTCTAATGTTAATCTAATAAACACCTTACCATGCTTATATAATCACTGGGTGATATGTCAAAACGTTAATATCAAAATTTTCCTGAGCCTTGATTACCATTTCTATTTTATGCACACAGGTTGCTTTTCTTACGAGAGATCACATTTTACTGTGATTGGTTAAAGATCTACCTGTCATTCACTCAGGCTGACCAATAAGAGGAGTGGGTGCGGTCAAGTGTAAAGCAGGGTGTCATAGGAATGAGATCACAATTCATGTTTTATTTCCATAACACCCAGCCCTACCAATCGTTATCCATGCACTTTTTTTTTTTTTTTGCTATTGAATGTTCACATGATGCTTAAAACTGCAGAGCCGATCTTTCAGCTTGCCTCCATCATGTTTTGGCTAATAATAAGTAGTAGTTCTTTAGTTATTGTATATATGTATACATTTTAGTATTGTAACGATACTAAAATTTTAAACAATACTAAGGACTTGATACTCAATATCAATTCCAATGCCACAATGTTAAATTTGGTTTAGACAGTAGAATGTAATGTTCAATATTAAAACTTACTATTATAATATTCTATGTGGTCTTATATTTATACTAGTTCTGATACAGTTCATGATCGTTCTAAAGCTATTCAGTTGATACCTGCTGAACTGAGTATTTAGTTTCGATACCAGTTTTAGTATTGATTAGCATCTGATTTTTGATACTTTTGCCAACCCTAGTTAATTTTGGCCATAGTTACCTTAATATGTGCTTTGGCTTTGTTAAGCAGGCCCAGAGTGGTGTGGCGGTTGCAGTCTGGTCCTAGTGGAATCAGGGCCTTCAACTTCTCCAGACACAGCCTCAGGTGAGCTCGTCTGCAAAGAACAAAACCATAATCTGTTGGACTTTGTGTAGTAAGGTGCGGCTATAGACAGAACTAAACTAAAGTACAGTGCAGCGCTGTGTTCATCATGTTTTTCTAACGCTTTCGTTTTTGAGAAAAGGTCATGGCCAAAACCTGTTCTATCATACCACACCCTCATTATCAAATACAGTCAATAGGAACAACCAGACAACAACTCCCTTTTGACAATAGGGGAATCAGAAGAGTAGCCATTCAAGTTTACTCTGTTTTTAAAACCTCAGTCACTGAAACGTGTCAAGATCAAGTTGATATCCCCTACAAAAACAAAATTTTGACAACAAGAAAAGCTGGTATACTGGTAACCAACAAAAATGATTTACACCACACAAACATTTAAGTGTTGTTGAATGTACTAGGGCAGTATTAATCTAATACGAACTGAGTCCAGTCATTTCAAATTATCAGTGATATGCTTGGACCTTTTTAATTGCTCTGGCAGTAAAAGCAGAGTTCAGATCTTACACTTAAAAGGAATAATTCTGACAATTTTTTGCATTTGTCAGTCTCATTTATTTTAAGGCCGGGAAACCCTCAGGGTCCCTCACGATTTGAAACAATACCCAGCTCATAATACCCCGTTACTGTGATAAATGCAATGATCCATACATTGTGCATGATGCTCTGTGATCTATTGCTGTTTTTAAGAAATAAATACATTTTAGCAATAATATTTCTCTGTAAAACCACCTCAAAGTTAACATGAAATACATCTATTTCAATAATTCCAGACAGTGAATATGTCGAGTGTACTAAATAAGTAACAAAACTGAAGTGTGGTCACCAAAAAAATTCTAAAATATACAAAAAAGTGCATGATAATGATAGTGTATCACCAAATTTTTCAACATTCCAATATTTTTCCACACTCCTAGTTTACTGTCATGGAATTAAATTTGTAAGCCATATTTATGATAAAATAATGATTGAAGAATACAAGGTAAATACATTGTGATTAATTTTGTTTGCCAGATTGCCCAGCCCTACTTGAAACACAACCACACATATAGGACCTGCACTGACTTCATGTTGTGTGATACTAAATCCTCCTGTCTGGGATCCCTTTACCTTCTCAAAAATTGCCCAAGAGCTGAGGAGGTATAACAGTGCAGGCGGTAGTGGTGGTGGGGAGGCAAAAGGGGGGCGAGTGTAATGGCATTTCCTGGACCTTGGCTAGGTGCATGCTCTCCATCATCCTGACAGTTCCTTATTCAGTGACAGTGGACGGTCAGGGTGTACTATCTATCCTGCTAATGGCCAGAGTTGAGAGGTAAAGAGAGATAATTGAGGCTATAACATAATCAGTGCTCCATTAGCAAGAGCTGCCCTTTCAGTCCAGCCTAAAGGGAACATGGGAGAGGTGCGCAGTGGTGGGGTTTGTGCGTAACCCCAGCAACGATGGGGGCAAGTGCAGTAGGTAAAAAGAGGAGAGAGGTAGAGAAATGAGACGCCTTAATAGAGACTGGACAGCTGTCTGCTCTGCTGTGACAAGTAGAGAGACGATGCCTATCTGAGTCTATGGATGTAGGTAGGTCAGATTGTGATAAGAGGCCAATATGAGTATTATGTATGCTCTAAAGAAGAAATGTTAACAACTCTGCCACCATTAAATAGTATAGTAATAATGTTTGGGGATGGGCAGTGTATTGGTGTCCCAGTAATGATTATTGGTCCCATATTGAAAATGATAATATTTGGCACTAATATCTTTTCTGGAATTCCCCAATCTCTGTGTGCCCAGTCACAGTTTGTATATCCTCAGTACATAAGAATTGTCTTTTAGAAATTCTTCAAAATGGAAAAAGAATAAGCCTAAAATATATGGTTTGTGTCATGTCTGTTTAACCTGTCCCCAACATAGCTCCCTCTGGGCTATCATTCACCTGTCAGCCAATGAGGGGGCATGCCATTGGGAAATGTCATGGACTAGGCTAGCTAAGAGAAGGACCATAAGACACCCCTTTTCAAAAATATATGAATAACTGTATTTTAACAGTTATTAAGTCTTAACCGGGCCCACTTGCTGCAAGTTAAGCATTTACCCCTTAACTAGACCAACCAGATCAAGTCTAGGATCGCCTCACACTTTTTCAAATGATACAAATGTATTTGTAGTACCTGTCTTAAAAACATTATAAACTGCATTACAAACTGCCTTCAATGGTGAAGCTATTTATCTTTTTTTATAGTTGTTTATCTAATTATCTTTGCTGATGACTCAAAGGCCAAACCAGGATACACTAAGTTTGAACAGGCGTAAATAACTGTGGGTCTCTTCTTTTTACTGACAATCTCTTGCCAAACATCCTTAGATAACACTCCCAAACACTGAGCTGGTCTGCTGGACATTTTCCCGAGGTGAGACGTGGTGTGGGACTGCACTGGCACACGGCTCCAGCCCAAATACCTCATTATAGTCTTTTATTAGTGAGTGTGTGGAGTCATCGCTGATTCATCGCTTCATTTCAAAACCAATGTGAAAACCAGAAACACTCTCCTGCCTGATTTGTGAGTTATTTTCCAGTGTGTGTGATTCACAGGCTACAGGTTCTGGCTGTTTCCTGCCTGTTATTGAGATGGACCATTTGTCCTAATCTCCACAGTTACATGACAAGCTCTTCTCTGGTACACGCTGCAGACTACAGGCAAACAGTCTGCCATTGCAGTAACAAGGACACCAAATATCTTCTTCGGTTGCAAAATGTGTCCATGCAGCATTTTTTGAGTTGCTTACACAACAGTTATTACCACTCAGATATCTTTAGGCAAAGTAACTGCATTTAATATTGATCTTCAAGGTAAACACTGTATCCTTATTGTGTCAAAGGTGGTCAGCTAATCCGTAAAAGGGCTTGTCTATCACATGGACCCTCAGGCAAAGATCTTAAGCCCTCTGCAGATTACAATATGTGGGGCCACCTTCTAACTCCGCCCAATTTTGAGCACAAACGATCACCTGAGCAGATCAATACACCAGTTACACAACTTCAGCTGCTCAAGCTAAGGCTGCAGGATAAATTTATACAAAGGAAGTGACATCACAGGATCTGCTACGAATTTAAGCTGTTCGAGGTTCGACTTTGAGTAGAACAAATTAATGATGGCAGGATATTATGTGTTATTCACGACTTCAGAGAGAGAATGATAAAAAGGACACTTCCTCCACTTTCCATGATAATGAATGGCCGAGCTCAATGAGTATCTCCATCTGTGATGGATTACGTAACACGTGGCCATTTGCTACCACCAGGACCTGTGCTCCAAACTGTCACGCACAGCATGGATTCAGAGAGAGATTCTGATCTAGAGCTGATTCCACATAGGGAAAAAAATCATTAATACAGTGTTCAATATAATTCAGGATAAAGGAGTTTGTCAGACCAATCAAACACATCAGAGATCAGATCTTTTAAGACACAGATCTGATGAGGAGACATGAGGTGTAATGTCGTCTTGTTGTGAATGTCAGAGTTGGAAAAAGAGTGTACAGTGGGAGTGTCATAGCCCTGCATGTGTTTGCTCTGTGGTGTGTGCTGGTGCAGATGGGCCACAGGCGGGAGACTATGCCTCTTGGCTCTGACATGTGAGTGAGCAGCCAGCCTGCCCCGGGTCAGTGCTCCACACCTTTACCCCTGTCCACCCTCTCCCTCTGGGCTCCCCGCGACATACACCACCGCCTTTTGGTGCTGTTTACTCTCTGCTATGACGAATACAAAGGAGGCACTTTTAAAGCTACATATTTGTACGTATGATTATGATTATGGAGATTCCCCTGGCATAATACCATTTGGGGGTCTCTTGTACCTGTCAAAGCAACAGCCCACCAAAATCATGAATAGTCTTTCATATTTCACAAATGTGCTTGCCTCTATCTGCCTCCTCTGCATCAGACTGCCTCCACTCTAACTCAAGTGGAGTCCTTTTTAAGCAGCACTTTGAAGCCTTTGCCTGTCAGTGCTGGAGAGCTGCCCACCTCAGCTTTCCCTGATCCTACGCTCTTCATATGAACACCACTCCTAATGCCCTTTCTCCATTCACATGTGTACACAGGTGACGTTTATTAATTTTTAACCCATTTTCAAAAGAGCGATTTACGCAGTGGGTCTGAACGATTTGGGCAAAACATCTAATGGTGATTTTTCTGACATTATGATCAAATCTGTGATTACATTTCAATAGATGGATTCTGTTCAAAGTGCACATTTTTAACATTAAATAGCCAGATGCATTAACCGTACTGAGAAGATTGAAATGTGAACTGCTGAACTACCACGACTATATGCTTTTCAGAACATAAGGGCAAGGGACTAAACTACAGAGTTAGCAGGTTTTTAGATAATAAATGGAATTGCCAATCTCTATTTAAGTAAAGGTAAAAGGTAGCTGCTAAATGGAAAACTACCACTACATGACATCACAGGGTGGAACAGACTAATAATAAAGGATCAAGCAAACATGTGTGAATGCAACAAAACACATCTACAGGTATGGTTTTGATGACATAACAACATTATAACATGGTTTAAAGCTCACAAGAATTCATTTTGTTTAATATAGGAACTTTAAGTAATTGTTGTCTTTGTGGTTAACTAACTGTGACCATTTGATTAGATTGCAATGAATCTTACAGCCTTATATCACAGGTGCCAATCTTGGTTTGGAAACGAGTAATTTTACAGTTAAGAAATAGTATCAAAATGGTACAGAACTGGGCATTGGAAGAAGAATATTAGCAAAAATGCATATTAAGTTTAGTGGCCTTTTGTGTGAAATAAGTGGAGGGATATAAAAGAGCACCTGGAATTGTGAGTGGTAACTGTATTTTTAACTCTATTCAGAAAACCAAAGCATCTGAAAACAACAGTGACAAAGCCAAGCATAATTTTCCATTGCATTTCCCCTGGAAGCTTCACTGTTAAGACACAGCACGGTCGATGGGGGTTGAAAAAGCAG